AGTATTGCTTCCCTTTCAGTTTCATTGAAGAGGTTAAACAGTAGTGGCAGTAGTTCTTCTCTAAATGTCTTGTAGAATTCAGCAGTCAAGCCATCAGGACCCAGCCTTTTCTTAGTTGGTAAGTTTTTAATTACATTTTCAATTTCATTGATTGATACTGGGTTGTTTAGAATTTTTAAGTCTTCATTCAACTTTGGTAATTCATATGTATCTAGGAATCTGTCCATTCCTTCTGTTTTCCATCTTATTGGCTTATAGGTTCTTGAAGTAGGTATTCATGATCCTCTGGATTTCTCCTGGGTCCATTGTAATTTCATCCTTTTCATTCCCAATTGCATGGATTTGGGCCTTTTCCTTCTTTTTTTTTTGGTGCTGGGTATCAAACTCGGGTTCTGGTGCTTGTGTAGCAGGTGGCGAAACCACTGAGCTAAATCTCCAGCCCTACATTCCTTTTTTTAATAAGGTTGGCTCAGGGTTTGTCAATTTTGTTTATTCTTGCAAAGAACCAACTCTTGGCTTCATTGATTTTTTTTTTTGTATCATTCTCTTAGTCTCCATTGTGTTGATTTCTGCTCTGATCTTTATAATTTCCTCCCTTGTATGAGCTTTGAATTTGTCCTGCTCTTCTTTTTCTAGAAGCTTGAGGTTTGGCATCAGGTTGTTTAATTGAGTTTGCTCTGTTTTCCTAATATGAGTATTCACTGCTTGAATTTCCCTCGTAAGACTGCTTTCATTGTGTCCCATAGATTCCAATATACTGTATTGTCACTGTCATTTGTTCAAGAGTTTGATTGAGTTATAATATTTCATTGCAGTTTTTTTGTCTAGTTGATCTATCTATTTGTGACAGTGGAGTATTGAGGTCCCCAACTACTATTGTATTAGTGCTTATCTGATTTTTCATGTCCATTAGTATTTCTTTTATATAGTTGGGCACACTAATGTTTGGTGCATATATGCTTATAATTGTCATCTCTTCCTCTTGGATTGTTCCCTTTACAAGGATGTAGTGTCCTTCTTTGTCTCTCTTAATTAGTGTGAGTTTGAAAGCCACTTGATCTGCAAAGAGGATAGCTACTCCTTTTTTTCGGGTTCCTGTCACATGGAGTATTGTTTTCCACTTTCTAACTTTCAGTCTATGAGTTCCTTTTTGAATTAAGTGTGTTTCTTGTGTGCAGCATATTGTTGGATCTTGCTTCTTGACCCATTCTGCCAGTCTTTTTCTTTTGATTGGTGAATTGAGACCATTAACATTGATGGTTATAACTGATACATATTGACTTATCATTGTCATGACTTTCTCTTTT